CTTCATTGCGGTAGCGAGAGTATCACATTGATAGAAACTATATTTCTCTTGCTATTTGTTATGCTTGCCTTACGCAAGACTCGGTAACTTCTGCAGATTCTGTCGAAAGAACCCTGACATGATGGACAGTGTGCGGTATGGAGCTCAAAACGCATATGCTGAATGCCAGTACCAGTTCAATAAAAGAAGGTTAATTTTAAGCTATAAATACTTTCCCCGCTAACATAATTTTTCAGGTGGAATTGTACCCTCATTGATCCCGTCACTTTGGAATTGATTAGCGATGTGATTATGCGGGAAGGTACCAGAGAATCCGCCTTTGTACATGCTGTTTCCGCTGCTGGGGTGGCCTACAGGTGCAGTGAAGATGTTATCAATAGCAGACATTCCATAATCCGGAAGTTTTCCAGAGTAACGCGCGACTGTGCCCGAGGGCTGAACGAACGATGCGGCTGCGATCAATCAATGCTCTCATTGGATCCACAGGTGCGATACACTGGAAAACTGCGTTGGCATCCACGGAAGACTTTGTTTAGGTGCGTAGCTACGATTACCAGGGATGCTCCGATAATGTCCAATATGGAATAGCCATATCGCGAGAGTTTGTCGATGCTGCAGAGCGAGGGAAAAACGCGTCTAATCGAGCCATTTTGAATCTGCACAACAATAGAGCTGGCAGACAAGTGGGTTACACATTTCTTTTGCAAAGTCTGTGACTAGCATTTGCAGTCCTAAGGAGAACCTTTGCTACAGCTTCGCTACGAGTATCAGCATCTTGGGGAATGAGATTATATGAAATTTAAGGAAAATCTATCGGAAATAGTGTTCAAAGGAAACAATAAGAAAAGTTCTTCTTGCTACACGTACATAGTTCACTGCAAACTTTGTCAATTTCTTCATGGAAATTTCTCAACATTGTGTTTCAAAAGTGGTGAAAAATTCTAAACAAATGCGGTCGTAACCTCTAATGTTGATTCAGGCTCCAATAATTAATGAATTGTCTTATGAAAACACTGACAGTATTTCAGTTGTACATATGTGGATGGATATTTTCACAAACATTCAACGATTTAGGAGCAATAATTCTCACAGTTAAGGATCTTTGCCAAGTACTTTTGATAAAAAAGTGTCTTTCAAACAATCTAATCACATTTTTACCTTTAACATCATAACATCTTTCTAGATTTAAATAGATACGAGTAACCTTGAAAGAGTAGATTTCAGGAAAGTGATTTCATCACCCTTGTCAGAGATAAATGTTCCTCAGTACTGAAACGTACTAATTCTGATATAGCTAGTCGTATTTTCGGCAATTTTCTTATTTTGTCAGAACCAAATGCTTCCACTGCATCTTTGCTACTAATGCTATTGAAATACATTGATTCGAGAAGTGTGCCAAGAGCT